TCTGTTATTACTTATACTATGTTATGTATCTCTGTTTCCAGTACATAATTGTACCATGATATGCAACTGCAATCATGTCTATCCCCGGACTGGGCAAATGTCCACTATCCACTTCATTTGATTAATTGATTGTGAAATGACTGTTTATGATTATGTGAATCGACTGTCTATTGTGTTACTGCGTTTGTACAGTGTCCTTGAGCTTGGGAAAGTCGCTATATAAATTAAACATTATTATTATTATTATTAATCCTAAAAACGCTTCAGTACAACTTTAAAGGCGATTTTCTCAATATTTAGATTTTTTTTGCACCCACAGATTCCAGATTTTCAAATAGTATCTCAGCCAAATATTGTTCTATCCTATCAAACCATACATCAATGGAAAGCTTATTTATTAGATCATGTATAAATCTCAGTTTCAAAGAATTTACCCTTATGACTGGTTTTGTGGTCCAAGGTCACATATACACACTCTTATAACTAATATTACTTCTAATACTCTAATGCAAATGATGTAATTTACTCACCCTCATTCCAAACCTGTTTGAGACTTACTTTCTTCTTTCGAACCTTTCATCTTTGGGTGATAAGTTCCTTTAGGACAAGGCAAACATTCTTACTAATATATATTATCATACTTAAATTATACTTAAATAATATTTAATTATACAGAAAATCAAGACAATTGTTTTGTATTACAAGTTTTCTAAAATGTTATGTTGAAATATGCAAATGATGCATTATCTAATTGAATATGCACTAGCTTGTATACCATAATAAATCTGAATATTGGATAAAGCCAGGTTCAAAATTCATGTTTGATTTTGTTGACATATTAGAGTTAAAGGTTTTTATAGAGGGGATTTTGGATTTCTCTTTTTATCACTCCATAAATTAAAAAATTCTGTCAACAGACAGAAAAAATACATTTTCATCATGTTTTAGGAATAATATGTCATATAAATCAGTGTGAATGATATATTAACAAACCCCTCAGTAAAAACCTTCAGAACTTTGTTAGGAATAATACTGTAAAATTTTGTGTATGTAAATGATGCTGAAGTGGAGAAAAAAACTATTTTTGAGAAAATCACACTTAACGATATGTGTTGTGATTGGAATCTATGCAAAGATAAAGTCCAATAATAAACTCTGGTAAATGAAATATGAACAAACCCCTCAGTAAAAACCTTCAGAATATAGAGAGGAATAAAACTGTAAGTTTTGGTGTTTGTTAGTGCTGCTGAAGTGGAGAAAAAACTCTTTAAAGAATTGCATTGTAATTGGAATCTACAGATGCAAATAGATAAAGTGCAATAAACTAAACACTTAAATGTGTACTTAGGATGTTTTCCTTCTACTAAGAAAGAAGCCATGTTATAGAAGCAAAATAGGCCAAAATCCTAAAATTTCTTTGAATGTGAATTTATCTGCTCTCGTAGACTCGCCTACTCACCTGTCAATCATCCATTGTGCTGAACTGTTTATTTAAGAGAAAGCATCTGATTAACCCAACTTTATGTATAAAGCACTTTCAAAGGTAGAACAAAGTGCTGTATAGAGAAAAGGAAACATACTAAAAACAACTAGCCTAAATCATCAAATCCAAATCTACAAACTAATTAATACTTTCATTCAAGCCTTTTTAATTAGTAAAGCCAAAAAAATACACTATAGTCTACAGTACCTGCACGAAATGCCAGAGAATATCTTCGGTTTGTGTGGCAATAACATGCATGACCAAGATCAAGCAAATCATTTAAAATAGCTTGACTAAATTAATGGTTAGCATTCTGCATTTATTCTGTGAGCGTCTCGTGTGTGTTTCAGGGTTTTGGCTGCTGTGGAGCGTCCTCATCCTGTTCAGCTGCTGCTGCGCGTATCGTCACCGGCAGGCGAAGCAGCGTGTCCAGCAGCAGCAGAGACAGAGGGAGATCAACCTCATGGCTTATCACGGAGCCTGCAGTTACCCGTCCTCCATGTTTGACCTCAGTAAGAATACTTTTCACTCACTCTAACATAATCACACTTACTAGAAAGCTCTTATTTTGTCAGATTTGCTGGCATGTCATGATATAGTAATTACTGATAAAATTCTTAAATGCAAAATCTAGTGAATGGTTTGCTCTGTATTTGGAAAATCTCATACATATGTGACCCTGGACCACAAAACCAGTCTTAAGTCGTTTAAGTATATTTTTAGCAATAGCCAAAAAACAGTGTATGGGTCAAAATTATAGATTTTTCTTTTATGTCAAAAATCATTAGGATATTAAGTAAAGATCATGTTCCATGAAGATATTTTGTAAATTTCCTACCGTGAATATATCAAAATTTTATTTTTGATTAGTAATATGCATGGCTAAGAGCTTCATTTGGACAGCTTTAAAGATGATTTTCTCAGTATTATGATTTTTTGCACCCTCAGATTCCAGATTTTCAATGGAAAGCTTATTTATTCAGCTTTCAGATGATGCATAAATCTCAATTTTTAAAAATGGACCCTTATGACTGGTTTTGTGGTCCAGGGTCACATATATATATAACATGACTTGTTGAGTACTACTCACTTTATCTTGATTTTTTTTCATGCTTTTGCACAATGCTTCATCCATTTTTCTGGGTGTTCAATACCACAGTCGTAGCGACCTGCAAAACATATGAAAAATTATTAGGTGCACTTACACCTCTAAAGAAACACAAAAAAGAAAATAGCGAGTCAGAATTATGACTCTCGTAACACTTTTGGTGAAAGTGAAAGTTTTTTTGTCTTTCATTTCATTTGTAGAGAATAAAACAATTGACAAACATATACATACAGACATACAGTATAATACAATATTTGTGCTCAGATAGTAAAAAAAAAAAGCTTTTAAGGTCTTATTTACATTAATTCATTTAGGAGAAACTTTTATCCGAAGCGATTTACAAATGAGGTACATCACAAGCAATGTCATAAAGACAAAATATTCATTATTCATTAAATATTCAAGTACACAATACCACGTTTAGCATAAACTACATATAAAGAAATGAGTAACCAAGATTCTTTTCTGAAATGCAAAAGAGAAAAATAAATAATACAAATAATTTAATAAACAGAAGCTAGTTATATAAAACAAGCACCTTGGTTTTTACAGAATACGTTTGTACTAACCCTCAAATTAAAATTTTAATTAAGATATCAAATAATTAAATCCTAAAATCATGTTCTTAAAAAGACAGCCTTCATTAAAATAGAACACAATATAAATCCATTTTTATTTGAATTCAAATTAATTTTTATTTTATTTAAAATTTTCTATTTTATTTCATTTTTTTAAACATTTAAATAAATTTAAGCTTACTTTTGTTTAGCAGAATTGGTCTGAATTGTTAGAGAAACACTAGTTAAATCAGACCATTCAAGTAGTGCCTTTCATACCACTAATTCTAGAATCCACATTTTAGAATCTAAATGAAAACAAACACAAACTTACATTAATCTTGAGTTCTCATTGGCAGGTTTCCTCGCCTCGCTCAAACTGCCATCCTATGAGGAAGTAGCAGCCCAACCCAGCACCCCGCCCCCTCCCTACAGCTCCGTTGCCTACCCACGAGGCTCCGCCCACCCCGGCCCGAGTCACATGCTGTCATCGCAGAGCTCTGACAACTACACCAGCTGCTCCTGCGACTCCTGCTGTCCGTCATCGCCCTGTAGCTCCTCCCCTTCTTCAGCTCAACTCACAGACGAAACTGATACTAGCCACGCCTCCACGCCCTCCCTCAACTATCCTGGCCACACCCACTCAGCGGTCATGCACACCGAGTGCATCCCAATACCGCCAATCAACGAAGGCGGCCAATCGCCAACACGAAGCACAGCCGAGGTCGTGGAGGTGGAGCTTCCAAGCTCCACCCCTCTGGATTCCAATGGGAACAACAAACCAGTGAAAAACATAACTAGTAGCACAGATAACATTACTGAAATAGTAGATGCATCCCAAACTATTAGTACTAACAAGATCTGCGATGCAAACAGCGCTAATAACATTAACAGTCCAAATTCAACGAATATCACCAGCCTTTGTCATCCGACTCCACCATCCTCCTCGTCGTCTCTCCAACTCTTCTCTATGTCTGACCCACTTGGTGTTTTCCCCAAGAAGCAGAATAGCGCAGCTCAGAGGGAGGGGCCTGCACAGGCCCCGCCCCCTCAGTCTCCACCCAGAACCGCCCTCTTTTCTCCCAGCGTGGAACCGGAGCGCCGCGATTCCGCCGTGAGCGATCTGGAAGTGGACCAAACGCACTTCCAGCAGCGACGACTGACCGGCGACTCCGGCATCGAGGTCTGCCGTTGCCACGTAGAACGTGAAGAGGAGGATGATGATGAAGAAGAAGGAGGACACTTACCGGCAGAGTCGGTCAATGGAACGGGAGACGCTCTTCATGATAGTCCGGACTGTTCTGCCAGAGCCAGACCGGATGGGGGTGGGAAAGAGGCGTGGCCTGTTTCATCGGTGGCTCCGCCCACTGATGCAGTCGTCATTGCAATGGAAACTGACTGAGTGTTACGTTAATAGCACGCAGGTCTTGTTCTGAGAAAAACCCTGTACAGATTGATGTTAGAAGACACATGAATCTGCGACCTCATCTTTGGTTCTAAGGGTCAAAAGTTTGGAATTATTACAATTTTTTAATGTTTTTGAAAACAGTCAGTTCGGCTCACTAAGGCTGCATTTATTTGATAGAAAATACAGTAAAAATGTGAAATATTTTTACAATATAAAACAGCTGTTTTCTATGTGAATATATATTAAACTGTAATGTATTTCTGTGATGCGCAGCTGTATTTTCAGCATCATTACTCCAGTCTTCAGTGTCACATGATCTTCAGAAATCAGTATAATATGCTGATCTGCTGCTCAAGAAACATTTCTGATTATTATCAATGTTGAGAACAGTCGTTTTTTGAGAAATCTGATACATTACTATTCAGAAGTTTGAGTTAAATAATAATGGAGAGCTCTGACAACTACACCAGCTGCTCCTGCGACTCCTGCTGTCCGTCATCGCCCTGTAGCTCCTCCCCTTCTTCAGCTCAACTCACAGACGAAACTGATACTAGCCACGCCTCCACGCCCTCCCTCAACTATCCTGGCCACACCCACTCAGCGGTCATGCACACCGAGTGCATCCCAATACCGCCAATCAACGAAGGCGGCCAATCGCCAACACGAAGCACAGCCGAGGTCGTGGAGGTGGAGCTTCCAAGCTCCACCCCTCTGGATTCCAATGGGAACAACAAACCAGTGAAAAACATAACTAGTAGCACAGATAACATTACTGAAATAGTAGATGCATCCCAAACTATTAGTACTAACAAGATCTGCGATGCAAACAGCGCTAATAACATTAACAGTCCAAATTCAACGAATATCACCAGCCTTTGTCATCCGACTCCACCATCCTCCTCGTCGTCTCTCCAACTCTTCTCTATGTCTGACCCACTTGGTGTTTTCCCCAAGAAGCAGAATAGCGCAGCTCAGAGGGAGGGGCCTGCACAGGCCCCGCCCCCTCAGTCTCCACCCAGAACCGCCCTCTTTTCTCCCAGCGTGGAACCGGAGCGCCGCGATTCCGCCGTGAGCGATCTGGAAGTGGACCAAACGCACTTCCAGCAGCGACGACTGACCGGCGACTCCGGCATCGAGGTCTGCCGTTGCCACGTAGAACGTGAAGAGGAGGATGATGATGAAGAAGAAGGAGGACACTTACCGGCAGAGTCGGTCAATGGAACGGGAGACGCTCTTCATGATAGTCCGGACTGTTCTGCCAGAGCCAGACCGGATGGGGGTGGGAAAGAGGCGTGGCCTGTTTCATCGGTGGCTCCGCCCACTGATGCAGTCGTCATTGCAATGGAAACTGACTGAGTGTTACGTTAATAGCACGCAGGTCTTGTTCTGAGAAAAACCCTGTACAGATTGATGTTAGAAGACACATGAATCTGCGACCTCATCTTTGGTTCTAAGGGTCAAAAGTTTGGAATTATTACAATTTTTTAATGTTTTTGAAAACAGTCAGTTCGGCTCACTAAGGCTGCATTTATTTGATAAAAAATACAGTAAAAATGTGAAATATTTTTACAATATAAAACAGCTGTTTTCTATGTGAATATATATTAA